TGTGTGTGTTTCTGTTCACAGCATGCGCTGCCAGTCCATTCTACACATGTCAATGTTTGTTTACAAAAAAGACACTGCAATGAGGTATTCCAGACTCCTGAATGACCACTTCAAGGTAGGGCACAGGTATTACTAAACTACCAGCTGGATGACTGCGGTAGTTGCCGATGTCAGCTGAACAGCCCAAAACTAACAAGTTTTTTATTCTTTGCTGCAGAGTAATTTCAGAGTAATACAAGCGCCTTCTCCAGGTGTTGCAAGGTAAGATTTAAAAATTTGTGTGTTGTCTTGTGTCTGTGTTTTAATGATAATGAGTAAGAAAGAGCTTTTCTGTGTGCTGTGGTAGTTGCATTTGGCAGAAAGCTACCAAGCTCCACATCTGTCCCGTCTAAGCTCTGTGACTGAGAGAGTGATGTTTGGACTTAAACAGTGGTGCTGATTCCAGTTACATTTTTTTGGCCACCTTGCATAGTACAGTTCATTGGGAAGTAAATGGCCTCTTGAGAGCAGTAGTGGAAACCCTGTCATACCAGTGACTAAAATTAAGTTGGTTGAAGTGGTGGGGGTGAAGTGATGTGATGAAGCTAGTCTGTGTCTGTAAGGCGGGTGGCTGACCACATTTAGCTTCTCTAGGTCTATAAATAAGAGTGTGTGTAGGCTGGCCTGGCTGCTTTGAGTAGGTGTCAAAAAACTCCAGCCTCCAGGGGAGGAAAGCTTCAGCATGCCTGAAATGGAGAACATTAGAAAAAACACTTGGATAATCTGGTGAAGACTTTCAAAAGTAGATGTAGATTTTGGACGGTGCATGGGTGGCCCTTTCTGATGCCTGGTCTCACATTTTGTTTTGTTGAGAGGAGTCCTTAGACTCTCAAATCACTTCCAAAAACTTGGCCTTGCGCTCAAAGGACAATTACTTGTGGTGTAGCTGAACACATCTCACTTTTCAACAGTCCACTCCATACTGCAGGCCTGTATGACACCGGATAGCTCCTGGTATAAGACAGCCTTGTGGAAAGACTTTTAGCTCTGAAGAAGAACATTCATGATGCTGTTTCTTTTCTGCTGCAGAAGCACAGGCTTGCCTTCTCCTCTTTCTCCAATACCCTCTCCTGCTGGTTCTGTGAGCTCTCAGCCAGGATCAAATGATAGCAACAGCACTGGCCACAACGGCGTTGGCAACGGTGTTGGCTCTACAGTCACTGTCTCCTCTCATATCTCAAGCGTCACCTCTTCCTATGTCAACATCACTTCCTACATCCTCCATGCCTATGAAATTTGGGAAAAGGCTGACACACTGGCCAGAAAAAATAAGGGTAAGTTCTTTGCCCTCTGTCTTTCCTGTCTCACATGTTATGGTTATGCGTACTTGCTTAAATCCTATCACTCAGTGCAGCAAGCACCTAAAGATCAAATCATTAAGTATGTTGAAATAGACAGTCACAGCGTACTGGCAGAGATACTTGGTGGTGATATATTGATGAGTGTTCCAATTAAAAGGTTGTTTTGGGATCCTCAAATGTCCAAGAGCTGAGGGATGAGGGTATCAAGTGCAGGAAACTAGCCAACTCGCTTCATGGTAACAGAAGCAGCATAACAAGAAGTTGCTCTTTGGGCACTGAGCTTTTTTGAGTTGATTCACTTTGTTTAAAAACATCTTTTTGCCCTATAGCATTGTGTTTTAGTTATTGTCAATCTTCCAGGTCATTTTGTCTTGAAAATGGTTAAGCTGGCTTCTCTGCCTAACAGAGAAGCTGAACGGCACTTGAGTTTGAGTCCTTGTTGGGCACGTGCCCAGTATTTGCCTGTAGCAGTTCCGAGAATTGCTACTACTTTTTTTATCTTCCAGGGTTTTTTGTTGGAAATGTTGTACTGTCCTGTGGTGCAAACAGTAGTGAATATGTGAAAGCCACAGGGTAGGTGCAATTCAGCCTGTAATCTGCCATCCCATGTGACCTTTGCAGTGTCATTTTTCATAAAATGCAAAGTTTTGTGAGCCACTGTGGGCAAAGAGATGCATTACCATGACCTGTTAGGAGACTTGCAAAAGAAAAATAAGCAGTTCCTAGCTGAATTGTTGTAAGGCTGTAAAAATCCTCACACTAATGAGGTGATTGCTGAAATTCAAAAGGCTTTGCAAGTCACCTTTAAATAAAGTAACCAGTTGTTGGCTGTCCTCTGAGCAAATCTGTGCTCACAGCAGCAGTTCACATGTGGTATTTTGGATTCTGTCATCAAAAGGCTGATAAAAGACTGTCACATAGAAGAAGCAGAGGATGCTGCTAGTAAGGTAGAGGAGTGAGTCACAGAGGAAAATGTTTGGGAGGGCAGCCTGAGCATAGTGTTGCATTAGTCAAGACTAAATTCAAAACCTGCTTTATGTGGCCAGTTCTGATGTAAGGAAATGATGACTGGAGTGGTAAATATTCTCAAGGGAGTGGATCTGTGCAGGAGATCAGTAAGTACTCCTGTAGGCTTGGTGGTTGATGTCACTGTTCAGGAGACATTGGAGAACTGGAACTTGTTGATATTCAGTGTAGTGTACAGGCACAGAGGTACAGACAGTGAGAAGATAAAACGAAAAAAAAGACCACATCCTTGCTTCTTTTATGCAATTCATAGGGCATAAGAGGAGGAAGAGCGAGCATTGGCCTTCTGCTATCAAGATCCTTTGAACAGGGAAGTCCTAAGTTAGTGGAAAGCAGTTAGTTGCAACTGATGTCAAAATCACTTGTGCAGAGCTGAAGTGCTTTCTGGTGGGTCTGCAAGCAGGACCCACTCAGCTCCTCGCCGTAATTCAGAGCAGTGCCATGAATCATGAGGCTGTAACAGGTTGTCTTCCAGCCTCTAATTTCTGCCAGCAAGCACAAGCTGAAGCTGCAGGCATAGATGGGAAGTCTCTCTCCTTTCACATGATACAGGCAGGGGCTTTGGACTCCTTGCCTCTGCTTACAGCTCTTTTGTAAGATTTGGATTTATAAACAAAATTTTTTTAAACATGGATTTAGTAAACAAAAGCAGGAAAATCAGGGGAGATGTATTCTCTGCTTCTGAATTGGCAAGTATTAAAATGAAAGTGTTGTGCACTCTGCTTCTGAAGAGTTGCTTGCACAGCCAAGTAACCTCAATCTTTGTGTGTCAGAAGGGAGACCTGGGAATGGCTGGTTTCTGAAAAGGTATTTGGCAACACGATTGAGGCTGGAGAGACTGAGGGACTGGGACAAGCCATGTCACTGGAAGGCTGGTCGTACAGGAATATCTTGGAAGGGTGACTGTAAAAAAGTAGGTGTGAGAATTTCCCATAACTTTTGGTCACCTGCACAGATGATTGCCAGCAGATAGCAGGGCTTGCAGCTGACCAGCACCTCACGGCGGGCTCAGATGTGCTGCGAGAACCACCTCCTGCCTAGACCAGAGGAGGAGCATGGTGCCTGAAGTCAGTGATGGGATAGGAGGACTGTGGGATCTGCCTGGCATGCTCAGCTATAAGCAGTCCAAACCAGATGTATAGCCCGGCAAACCACAGGAATTGTTAAGTCTGTTCAGTGGAGAAATCATGGTGTCTCCGAGGTTTGAGGATGAAAGCAGAAAAGGGACCAGCCTGATGATCAGGCAGGTCTGTGTGCTTCTGGGTGTTGCTCAGGAAGACACTCAAATTTGGCCTGTTTAAAATCTGGGGAAAGCTCAAAGCAGGGACTGTGGTGTGAACACCCAAACTTTTGTCCACCTACCACGGAGCCTCAATGTCCTTTAAAGAGAGCACATGAGGAGGCAGGTCAGTATGTGTATGTGTGTGCAAGTGTTTTCCTCTTGTGTGCCCGTGTTATACTTTCCAGCCCTCTAACCCTGCTGAACTGTCGGCATTAACACTGTTTAACTGGACTGGCCAACTCACCATGTGCTGCTGCTGTTGCTTCTCACTGCCCTCCTTGCCTTGTCAGATGTGCCTGTTGTATGAAACCAGCAAATGTTTTCTTTCTCTTCCTTTTTTTTTCCAGAGTTTTTTTCTGAACTCAGCAAAGCGACCTGTGCTCTGGCACTGACCAGTAGCCTGACTGACCTGGTACACTACATCAGACAGGGATTACAGTGGCTGAGACTGGAAGCAAATATGCCTTAACTGGTTCTCCAGGTGGTTAAATACCTTGAAGTTTGTTGCACTTTTGAAGCCTCAGAAACAGTTTAATTTTTTGTTTTTTAATGTTCTATACAAGCACCTGCAAAGGAAAATATTTTAAATAAAGTTGGAAGTTATCTGGTTACACTGGAAAACCTTTGAACTGTGTTATTTTAGGGTAGCACTTTGCTGCCTTAAAAAGGAAGAGATGGAGAATGGCACCTTCCTTTAAAATGATGAAGTGCAATGAATTGTCTGAATGGCCCAATGTATTGATGGTCTTGAAACATTTCTGTTACAAATAACCAGCAGGACAAGAGTTGCACATGATGCTGACAAGAAGGAAATCTGCCTCCAGAGGTGGTTATGCAACATCCCTCAGCCTGCAGCAGTTGTGTGCCCAGAAAACGTGCCGGAGAAGTTGTTTTTGCAAGCACGGATGCAATCTTTCGTGTCTTTGTTCCCCAGAGAGCGAGCAGCAACCTCATATACACCAGACAGCAATAAGTTACAGTAAAAACAGCAAAAGGATCTGCTTTGCCTCCTTTCCAACCTCACCCTCTTACTTTCGTCAGCCAGCTGATGGAATTGGGGAACCTGCTGCCTTCAGTGCTGCCAGTTTACTTTTTAAATCGTCGCTGCTTTGGTCCTCCTTGCTGTGCTCTCATGGACATACATGCCCATGGCACTCAAACTGTGTTACTACAGGTCTTGCTTGGTTTCAGCCTTGTAAGACAAACAGCTGGGGTGGCAAAATGACATGATGTGGTTGGAACAGCTCTGCCTTCCTTCTGAGGGGTGTCACAATGAGGATTGCTTTTTGTCATTTTGGTGGGTGGGGGTGCAAAGCTGCACTGGGTCTTGCTTGGACATTGTTCTGGGTCTGAGAGCTTCCACGTGGAGGAATTGCTTCTCATTAAGGAGGGACTAGGGCACTGAGTGTGGAACATAAGACAAATTTTGCATGTGGATATTTAGGTGCAACCCTTGGGGATCTAAGGAGCAGGATTTGATACCAAAGTGGGTCTCCTTTATGTGGGACAGAACTCACATGCTCTTCCTCAACCGCACTGTACAATGGGCCCAGTGACTTAGAAACCTGTCAAGGGAACATGAAAGGGAATAATTAGTGTTTGCAAGCATTTTTCCTTGTGACGGTATCAGTGAAGGCAGCATCCATGGCATTTGCATGTTTAGTTAGGTGACACCCTTCTCTATCCAAAGATTACTTGTTGTGTGACAGCAGTGTCCTACCATCCTCATATAAGAGTGTGCCTTAGCCCTCTGGTGCCCTCTCACATCCTTCACCCTATCTCTGACAGACCTGTTGGAGTAGTGAAGAGATAGTATCCTAAAATAATTGTATTTACAAAAAAAAATTCTCCCTTTTCCACATAATTTCACAATGGACGAACATTTCTGCACAAATGCAGCAGTACGCCCTTTGTAAAATACCTGCTCGTGTGATTTTGAGCAGACTCATGAAAGTGGGCAGTAAATAAATATCAGCAAAAGGTCTGCATTTCCAAAAGTAGTTTCTGTAGAACTGGCCCCTGCCACAGGGAAGCCTGGAGTCTGTGAGGCTGGAGTGTGCTGAGGCTCTGCCTTGGTCCTGAGCACAAGGGAGCTCTCCTCCCACCTCCCCTGGCAGTAAAGGACTGCTGGGATCATAGTTGGCTCTTCCTACACCCTGAAGACATGGTCCTTTCTTGTTCTCTTTGTTAAAAACCTTAGTACATTTCAGGGATGAGCTGTCCTAACAAATGGAAGGAAGGTCCGTGTCCCTCCCTCCCTATTTTACCTATCAAATTTCATTTGCACTCCTCCTCCCTGGAGCGGCAACTGCTTGGATTGAGCCAGGGACAGAGAGAGGCTCAGCATTAACCATTTTGTTCTCAGAAAACATGGGCATGGGCAGCCAGCCTGAAGGCTAATGTGCACTTTGGAGCTCGATCCCAGATTAGTGGATTGATGCTGCCTTCTGACTTTGTCTTTAGACAAAGCTATTTCTAGGATCACCCGATGAGGAGGAGGAGGTAAGAAGAAAGAAAGCTTTATTGAACCTGAAAACCACTGTGGGAGCCTGCAAGAACTGTAGCAGAGTGTTAAGGGTAAGCATAAGGTGTAGCAGGGACACGGGTCTTCTGGTACTTTCATTTTGTATGCACCCGTGTCCCTCCCTGCTGTCAGGCCAGGTTCCCATCAGAGAGCCACTAGCTCACAACTTTCCCCCAGGCTGGAGAACTACCTGCCAAGACCCACTAGGCAGGCATGTGGTTGTCCCTGTCCTACATCCAGCTCAGTGCCACCTGTGGTGCTCCAGGTCCTGTCCTCGCCTGTCCTGAGCTGCCCAGATAGGGATTATCTGTTGCCCTGCTCCTTGCAAAGCTCATGAAGGGGTGTTGGGCAAACAAAGCCAGTGAGAAGATGCCCGGAGAAGGTAGATGAATCCCTGACTGTCTCCACTTCTGTGCAGAAGTGGTCGTGCAAGGGCTGCTACCATTCCTAGGGCAAATTCCCCTGGGCTTTGAGGGAAAGGAGGTCATGAGCAGGTTGTGGGGGGGGCTACTTGGGGCTTTCACTTCAAAAGCAATCTGTGGAAGCATCAGTATCAAGCTCCACAGCAGGGAACTATGTTTTGTTTCAGGACACAGAGAAGACTGTTTAAATAATAGGAAACTTTTTAAAAAGCCATCATATTTCAACCTTGAGCCGGGTCAGAGGCCTGCAAAGGATAATCATCATCATTTTCATCTGGGCCTATTCAGGCCTTTCCAAAAATCAAACAAAAGCCAAACAAGAATAAATAAAAACACAAACCAAAACATAAGAATGGAGGAAATAACATTTGCCTTTAAGAAACAAACCATTAATCCAAGGAAAACCAGAGATGATGGTTGAGTTACAGAAGGAAAAGAGGCAGCTATGGTGGCAAAGAAGCATCATTTCCATGCAATATTTATTTAAAAGAAATAATAATACATATGTTGATATTGTCAAATGTTCTATTTTTAAGATGCCATTTATTTAATAGTTGAAAACCCAACTTACATGGAGATAGAGATCTCTTGAAAGTCAAAGTCTGACTGCAATGTCTGTGTTTTTGGTTTTGTCCTCTCCCCTCCCTCTTGGTTTCCATGATAAATCTGTACATCTTATTTTGGGGATGTATATCCCTCTTGTATATAACCTTTTTCTGCCCTGTGTGTGATGGAGTTTCCAAGATGGTTGATGGTTGATTCATTCATGTAGGGAAATAAACAATAAATTAATGTTTGTTATGAGGTGTTGCAAGACTTCTTGTGTTCTCAGCTTCTTGTAGAGAAATTGTAGTTTGCGTTTTCTTCTGAATGGCCTTAGTGTTTCCTTTCTGAATGAGGCTTAGGTATAAATCTCTGTTTCCAGTGCTGCCCCGTTTATTGCCCCTTGCCCTTTGCTTAATGACCAAGAATGGGTGTTCAGAGCAGCAGGAGAGTCACGACTCAGAACATCTGCCTCCTCTCCTCCCAAAACCAATTCAGGGACGACTTTGCTGGGACCAGCTGCTGACAGCCAACAAAGCCTGGATCTGAGCACTACCTGGCAGGAAGATCCTGTAAGTTGGTTTCAGACAATCAAACAAGTAAAACAAGAAAACCAGGAGGCAAGGCACGAAAGTGGTGGCTGAAGCATCCTGCTCTGTGTTTGCCATAGAGGTGTTGCAGGGCTCAGTGCTGGGAGAAGGGTCTGCTCAGGTTTTATTCATGGGTTAGTTTCTGAAGTGCTGGAAGGAGGATTTCCCTCAAGGAATCCCACAAGATTTCATGCTCTGTGGGGCGCTGTGTCTATTTGGGTGGACAATGGGATCTCTTTGTCATCGTCTTACACTTCTTGTTTGAGGCTTTTTCCACTTTTTTTGTGTGTGTTGGGCAATATAACTGTTCCTTGGAAGAATAATTTTTTCATCTCTGCACTATTGGGATATAATTTGCATTTCTAATTCAGGCCCATTCTGCAACAGGCGTTGCACCCAAGATGTTAATGGATGTGGGTTTCTAATGTACTGTGTAAATTCTAGAGGTTACTGAAACCAGTTCTAATACAATCTCAGATTAAATGATACACAGGTGGTTTTGTGAGGATGAGTTATGAGGAAGACCCAACCCCCCCCCTCTAAGCAATTGTAAATTCAAAATTAAGAGGCTCTAATTGAGGGGGGAAAAATGTGGAAAAAGGAAGAATAACAGCCCTTTATTAAAAGATATCTCACAGGAGAGATGGAAGGTAAAGGCTTTCTTTCCTGGGTAGAAATGCATTTGTTTGATGTCAGAATCCCTGTGCTGGAATTTTCAGTCTGAGCTTTAAAATGGACTAAGAAGGAAGAATCCTCCTAGACAAAAGGTGCCAGCACAGGAAACTCTATGTGTGCATGGAATGCCAAGAGTGGCTCCCCAATTGCACAGGAGAGTTGGAGGGTAAGGGCTTTTTTTCCTGGGTAGAAATGCATTTGTTTGGTGTCAGAACCCCTGACCCGAATTGTCATTCTGAGTTTAAGAATGGACTAAGAATGAACATTCCTCCCAGACAAGAGGTGCCAGGACAGGAAGCTATATGTGTGCATGGAGTGGCAATAGTGGCTCCCCAATTGCACAGGAGAAATGGAGGGTTGGGCTTTCTTTCCTGGGTGGAAATGCATTTGTTTGGTGTCAGAACCCCTGTGCTGGAATTTTCAGTCTGATCTTTAAACTGGACTAAGAATGAAGATTCCTCCCAGACAAAAGGTGCCAGCATATAAAGCTCTGTGTGTGCATGGAGTGGCAAGAGTGTGTCATGGTTTAGCTGGTTCTTGAAAACCAGGCAGGAATTTTTTTCTTTCCCTCTGCCCACTTCGTGCAGAGCTATTAAGTGGGCACTTAAGAGAGACAAAAGAAGTGGCTTGCTGGCTAATTGCTCAGAACTTAGTCTCCTAGGAAATAGGGGAGATGAGGGGCTCCTCTTTACTTTTTTCTCTGGTCTCCTGTGAAATGGGAGGGAGAAGTTTTTGGGCTGGCTGCGGAGGTTGGAACAAGGTCAGAGTGGAAGCTCAGTGGTTCCTGTTGTTCTTGACTTGCTTGCCAGCTACGGACTCTGCTTGGACTTTCTCATCAGAGAGGAGCTGTTTTTTTCTGGAGGTTTT